AAGTGGGAGAACTTGCACAATTGGTGGCTGACTAAATATTTTTTTGCCCCACTGTATGTGTCCAAAATATTTAAACATTAGCCTAAACTTGGCAACTATGCTCATTTTGTGGCATGCCTGAGAGCTAACTTTGAGAATTTGGTCAAGAAAGTGATTGCCAGCTGTGAATCTGGTTATTTACAACAGTGTAAGTATTCCATGTAGGTGTATTTACTCCAATTTTTGTGTTGTTTCAACCAAAAGACTCTGAGTAGCTTACAACCTGTTTACAGTAATAGGGTTAAAAAATAATGCAAAATCACACACATACACACACAAACATAAATAGAAAACACCCACAAGATACTGCTCCCATTACTTCATCAAATTTTTACCTATACTTCAGGATAGTTCACCAATCCCTCCAGTCTTCAAAAGCCCTCCAGAACAATCGAGTCTTCAAGACTTTTTGGAAACTAGGCAGGAAAGGGGAAATCCTCATTATGTTTTGGTAAAGGTTATTCCAAAGAAGGGGTCCCATTACTGAAAAGATTCGACAGTGGGGGTCTCTGAAGATAATATTCCTTTGGTAGAGGGAGCCTTAACATGCCTTCTTCCACTGATCTCACTAAATGAGCAGATTCTACCCAGAGCAGGTAGTGTCTAAAATATCTGCCCATTAGCCATGGAGGGCTTTACAGGAGACAACTAGCACCTTGAATTGCACCCAGAACTTAACCAGCAGCAACAACAAGCCTTGCAGTAGAGTTGAACCATGGCCAAACCTAGGCATGAACCATTAGTACTTAGACTACCACATGCTGAAATAGCTGCAGCTTCCAAACTTCATGTAGAACAAATTTCAGTAGTCAAGATGTGAGGTAATAAGGGCATGAGTGATCATTAGCAAAGCGTCTCATTCCAGGAATAGTTGTAACTGGTGTACAAGATGTAGTTGTATAAAAGTCCACTTGGCTATAGCCTCCACCTGCTGGGAGCCATGAGTGCAAGAGGACTCCCAGATGGTGAATCAGCCCTTTCTGAGGCAGTACCATCCTATCCAGAGCTAAAATAGACTATCCCTAGAATCAGTTGGCTTCAGAACCCACAGCCATTCTGTCTGGGATTAAGTTTAAGCCTGTTTTCGCCATCCAGACCCTCATAGTCTCCAGCCACCAAGAGATGTCAGTGGCATCTCCAGCTTGGCCAGGGGTGGCAATATATATAGTTGCATAGACATTTTTAGGTACCTCTGGATAAACTGCATGTTTCAATGAATACTGAAGGGAACAGAAGCTGACAAACCTCTACTTGATCCAAAGTTAAACCTGATATCTTTCATTGTATATTTACTATTTATGTGTAGTTGTTTACAGATTCAAAATTAACACTGAATATGACAGGTGCAGATACTGTTTCAGCCAGTACTTTGCAACACTTTCTTCTGCAGAAATAATAGCTTCCAAATGTTTCCTGTAACCAGTTTTGTATGCTTGCTTTTGGACTTTCCCCCCCATTTTTCCTTATAGAACTTTTCAGCTTTGGAAATATGCTTGGGTCTCCTTGCATGTACTGCATGTTCGAGATCTTCCCACAGATTTTCAGTAATATTCAAATTCAGGGACTGTGAAGGTCATTTCAAAACCATTACCTTTATTTCCTGTAAATACTTCATGGCTGATTTGTATGTATGTTTCATATTGTTGTACTGCTGAAATATAAGACATCTTTTCAGTTTGTGTTTGGTCATATTCACACTTTGTTTTTCAACACTGTTGTTCTAGGCCCCTCTTCTGCTGCTTCATCTCCTGGAGCTCCTCAGCAAATCCACAGTTTTACTTTATGGGAGAGCATCACCTACTGCCTCTCACCTTGGCAGTGGTCCTCACCAGCAACTCCAGCCTCTTCACTTCTTCTGACTATTGATCAAGTCCACTCCAGCCAATTCCCAGTCCTCAGACAAGCTTCCAACATGCTCTGGCCCCTGTGGATGCTTGCTTGCAGACTGAAGTAGCAGCTCTCTTCTAGTTGAATCCTCCCCTGTTGAGATGCCTGCTCACTGTAGCAACAACTGCCAAAGTACCTGTCATGGTTATGTTCAGAGATTGAGAGGAATTCACATCCTGGCCATCTGCACATTGCCTAGGTATCAGACAAATGATTAGCCTCCTAGCTCATTCACAGAAAGTTTCTTAATAACAAACTGAAATATATTTTGCCTGAAAAATGAATTGAAAAATAAATAAGCTGAAAAATAAATTGTATTCCAGTGAAAGTAATCTAGTGGCTGAAATTTTAGTTTACTCCTTTTCAATAAAACTTGATAAAGGAAACTCAGAGAAAGTCTTGTTTTCAGTTGTAGTCAGCTGCCAATAGCTTGCCAGTACTTGAGGCTACTACTTCTTGGAGTTCGGTGCTGCATCCAGTGGTTCTGCCTCAGCATACCAGAGGGCTCACATCTCAACAAGTCAACCTCCTCCTCCACAGCTCCAAGCTTCTGCAGCCACCATCAGCTTGTAGCCAGCTCCAGATATTCTGGGCCAAATCTCTTTCCCCCATGTTCTGTCCTCACTTGGTCTTCTGCTATCCCAGGTTTTTTCCCCAGAAACCACTTCTGAATCTTCCAAGCCAAGTCTGCAACACATCAGTCCTCTTCTGGATTCCAGTCATCACAACAGTTCCCAGTTTTCTCAGATTCTTTTTGTTCTTTACCCACCCAGTTATTTTTTCTCTCTCTCTTCTCGTTCAGAATTCTTTCTCCTGCAGTCAAATATTTTCCAACCATCAGTGAGAAAGTGGCAGAGTTTGCCTATTATCTAAGGATATGGGCTGGAATGAAGAGGCTTAATTGACCAGTTCAGAGAAATATGGGACAAATTCACTCAAGGCACTCCAGATGCCTTGGCAGCATTAATCCAGGTCTGCTTCGGTAATGATGGAAGTCTAAAGAAATTACCACAGAATCTGAGCATGAAGGGAACATGGCAGTATTCTCTTTCATTCATTTTATTCTCCTCCCACACATCTGAGACCTTGGTAGTTGAACCTTTAGAGATAGGAGTTAGCAAAACACCAATATTTGCTTCAGAGAAGTTGCACCAGTGATGCACACAAGGCCAATGTCTGTATTGTGGAGAACTTGAGCACTTCATAAAAGTCCTGTTAACCCCCCCCTCCCCCCCCACACACACACACTCCTTAAGCATCAGCTAAGCAGTGTACTCGTGGGGTAGAGGATGCCAAGCCCCTTATAACTGTTATTTGTTCTATGCTCTTTCTCTAAGCTCTTATGTTTACTTTTCATATTACAATATAAATGAGCTAAAAAGCAGGTAATCTATCTCTGGAAATATTGTTCTGCCTAAAAACAACTGTCTTTTGGAGTTTGGGTGTGGGAGATGGTTAAACGGTGAATTTAAGGAAAAATTTAAATCATGGAGCATAGACAGTGACAATTTCGTTCAAGCATATAATGTAGTGAAAACCGAATTCAGTTTTCCTGCTAGATTACATCTTTTTTTAATCACCGTGTGCTCGCATGTCAATACTGCATGGCTGAATTAACTTTAAAAAGCAAAGATAGCTGGACTCTTCTTACGGAAAACTCAAACATCCGTACAGTGTCTTTATTATTCTGCATCTTTATTCAGTCTACCCACGGTCGCAAAATAAAAGCTTTCAAGTTCAAGCCCAGAGCTGAAAGTCCCACTTCTACGAACAGCGACATACCAATCTCCGAATTTTACGCGTTCAGCTCTCACGCCCCGCCTCCAAGCAGGGCGTTCTTCGCTACGGAAACCCTCTGCGTCTGCGCATCGCGCGGCGTCTTGCGCCTGCGCATCGCGGGCCGCTTTTTCTCCCTTGGTAACAGAATCCAATCCATCACTGGCCCTCGGCTCTGCGGGTGGCCGCCCTTCCCTTCTTCTTTCCGGTTGAGTGTCGCCGCTGCCGCTATGCAGGGGGAGGATGCTCGGTACCTCAAAAGGTAATGGTTTCCCCGCCAAACTGGAGCAGGAGCGCGAGCGATGCATTGAACCGGGAATAAGAGGAGAAGGCCGAGGAGGGGCGCAGCTCTGCCGGTCGGAGAAAATGGCAGGAGGGGAAGGATGCCTGGGCCAGGGAGGCGGGTAGTCGATCTCCGCGAAGACGGCTGGCCTTGCAGAAGGTGTTGAGCTGCCCCAGGCTCGGGGTGGTGCCTAGCAGAGCCCAGTAGCTGGGCGATACCAAGGGAAAGGAGCTTAGTGGAAAAGTGGGATCGGTCTGGGGCGAGGCCAGCGCATCCTTTTCGGGCGCATTGCCCCTGCGGTGGGTTTAGCTTTTTGCTAGGTCCCTTGGAGCCCCTGATCCAAGAAGAAAGCCCAAACAGGGCGTTTTCCAGACTTCGGGGATCAGCTTTAGTGGATAATAGCTCGCTTCATCCCAGGCATGAATTGCTGGCCTCTAGTCTACTCAGTTTAATGACATAATGCAGGTGCTGGCCTTGAAAGTGTTCCAAGGCTGTTCGTGCCATTCCCAGTAGACTCAAACAGCAGCCTCTCTGGACTGCATTATTTGAGGTAAAGGAGGTGAATCTGTAAAATGAGAGCTGAGAAGAAGGGGAAGATCAAAGAGGTCAGGGGATGCGGTGTGTGGGTGGGGAATGGTGACCAGAAAAACTGGATTGAGCTGGCTCCTATTGAGCAGGTCATTGTTGAATGATAGGTGGGCCTTTGGCCTGACAGCACTTTATTTTCTCATGCTGTTGTCGTCTGATCTATGAGATCAGGGAACTTCAAGTCCAAATTTTAAATTTGGTTTTATCCTTGGATTGAATGGAAACTTGGAGGCAGCATTTTGTGTATAGTGCTAAAGATCTCTTCTGTCAAACTGGGGAAAGTAGCTCAAGGTAAAACAGTATAAATTACATTGCTCACAACTATAATGGGAAAGTAATAAATATATTGTACCTGTTTACATTTATCGTGGGAAATGGCCATTCTCTGTACTAGGGATATTAGGGATGATCTCTCCTTATTGGTGGGAAATAGCTTCATTCCTTTTAAAGTTCCACAGCTCACAAGCTAGAAGTAATAAGAGAGTATGCCAGTTATATAACAATTGCTTTATAAAATAAAATATAGGTTATCGTAATCAGTTTTAAAATTCAAACTTGTGAGGAACAGCAAAATGGAAAAATACTCAAAGATTTGGTTTTATTTCTATGCTTATCTGATATAAAAATTGCAGGGTTTTTTTTACTCAATATTTAATTTTTACTTAACAGAAAGGTAAAAGGAGGAAATATTGATGTACATCCATCAGAAAAAGCACTTATAGTTCATTATGAAGTGGAAGCTACAATTCTTGGGGAGATGGGAGATCCTATGCTGGGAGAGCGTAAGGAGTGTCAAAAAATGTAAGTTTATAATACTCAAGCAAACTTTTGTTCAAAAGCCTTTGATAAAACATTTTGGATAGCTATTGTTTTGTCTTTGAAGATTTTTTTTAAAGATTGAATTAGAAAAACAAAATCTGAAGCCTTAACTTCAATTTTATATTTTTGATATATTTACTAAGAAAAGCTATCAGGAGGTATGTTATATTTATTTTAAATCATTTTTAAATATGTCAAAAGTTCTCACTATAACCCCAAATACATTATTAAGAGATCCAAAATATATGTTTAATGTACAGTGGGGCAAAAAAGTATTTAGTCAGCCACCAATTGTGCAAGTTCTCCCACTTAAAAAGATGAGAGAG